ACGCCATGGGTCGCACCACCTCCAACATTCAGGTTCGATTTAAAGTCTAGAGATGCTCCTTAGGATCTGTAAAAAAATGCATAGGATTAAATTTCTAAAAAGAGAGAAGATATAGTAATAATGATAATGATATTGATAATAGTTATAAGAATAATGTTGATGATTTTTTGTAGCAATAATATTATTGCTAATGATGATGATGATAGTCTTATTGATGCTTCCCCCAAGTCCATTAAATTGGTAGCATATAATAATACATTTTCATTATATCAAATGTTCCCTCAGCTGTTAACATTATTATGCTAAGTATTTAGTTGACCTGGCAGTGTCTCTCAATTTGTTATGGGAACAGAATATATACTTTTCACTATTCAGTGAAGGAAAATGTAAAAATCTAATGAAGATGGAAATAATTTTAATTAATATTAGTTTCTGATTAGGCTTTCTCAGCTTGCAGTTCTGAATGATTTGACTTCAATTAAAGGAACTTTGAGGGGAAAAGGGGTTTTCATTACATTCTATGCTAACTATATAAAATTCCTTTCAGGATGTTGGTGCGACTTATGTAGAGTAAAGGAAGATCGTGTGAGAGCAAGAGGAAGACACTGATACACTGAAGACGAGACCTTGCTTTAAATTGTGGAGGACAAATAGCAATTAAGAAATACGAAATGAAATATCTATTCTCTCTTAAAAAGTCTATTTTATTTTTATTCTTTTTTTTTTCTTATTTTGTGGACTTCTTTTAAGAAATCCCTCTTTTGTGTATGTCTTTTTATCTGATGTGAATTCTGATTTCTGTAGTGTAACATCAGTGCTTTTTTATCTGTAGTCAAGAAATGGAGACTTCTCTTCTGTGTAATTGTATTAGAAGTGTAAAATTTAAACAGAATATAAGAATGGCAGTACATAAGGATGGGAGGATGGAAAGATTAAGTAACACCTTTTTATGGAAGAATCTTTTTTTTTCTGGAGATAACTCGAGCATCAGTGTACAGAGACTTGTTATTAAGTGCTATATTCTTTCCCATGATCGTCCTTCATGAGTATTGACACTTCAGACTCCAGTAATTCTAGTTGTCTGTTCCTACTGTTTGTAAGTTTCTGCTTGATGGAATATTGGATTCTCTTCTGAGTAGAGTTGAAGCCTCGATGTATGTAACCAGTAATGATATTTGCCATTCATTTACAGTCTGTAAATTTTTTTTAGCGAGATATTCTGCTTCATTGCAAACAAGACGGAAATATTTTGCAGCCTCTCCTTGCTGTGATTTGATGTAGTATTATGAGGTTCCTCAGAATTTCCGTTATATACCCCTCCCATATATTTTTACTTTATTATTATTTTTTTCTTTTATTTCTTTTTCTTTTCTTTTTTTCTATGAACAATAGTCTGGCTTGTGTCTTGCTGTGGCTGTTTTGTTTAATACAGCCGTGTATATGTGTTGGGTAGATACTGTTCCTGGGAAATGTATATAAAATTATAGCTTCAGGTGCATTTAATGTGAAAAAAGTTGTACTGAGTGATAGGATTTTGATTTTTTATTATTTCACAAGTGATGAGGAACCAGTTATATGCTGATTAACATAATCATACTCAATTATTGCATTACTTGGTGGCAAATAACTAGGGACTAGGCAGTGATGAAAGAGAGATACTACATTGCATTATTACTGAACTGAGTACAAGAATATAGTTTTAATCTTATTTCCACCTGCTACTTTTTGGTTTTTCACTCTGTATGTCCAAGTCATGAGAAAGAAAGAGAGGGAAAGGGTTAGAAGACCCCCTTAAAAAATGAGTATTACTAGGAATGAAATTTATTAATGAGAGCAAATGTATTGGAAAGAGTGTCCTAGTTCTTTGTCTTGTGTTGGAGAATTATTGCACGTGTTGTTCATCTTGGCCGAGGTAGCGCAGCTGTGTTACTATAGGTCATATAGTCTGGCAGTTATTATTCAATTATTGCTTTTATTATAAAAAAAAATCTCATTTTAATCTTTCCATCCTATCCTATGTTGATGATCCTTGTGTAGCTCAGTTTGGTATTTAATATAATTTGTGATTGTGAGAGTTAAAACCATTCATTCACTTTTTTCATTCTTGACTTTGATGCAGGAGTATATCTGTTCCTTTTTCACTTTTTTTTATATGAAGTGATTAGAAAGGAGACATCAGAAATCTGCCTGATTGGCTCCATGGTTTATGCATTTACTGAGCCAAACGTTTGGTCTGTGTCAAGTGATTATCATTTAACATGCCAATGCCATAATAATTACCACTTATTGTCTGATTGTTTGAGGGGGGATGAGGGAATGGTAGATTTTTTTTTCTTTTTTTTCCGTGTTTCCTTCTGTCTCCTTAGTGAATACAGCATTATGAAATAAGATGGAGCTCAGGTGCAAGGTTCCAATGCAGTAGGGAATTATACAGAACCTAGGCATCATTTCATTGATTCTTTCACATGGCAATGTTAGGTTCACATTTGGTATTTAGGAGAATGATAAGATTTTGTTTCTTTTGGGGATGCAAATGTTGTTTTTGGTTCTGAGAGTTTTATTTCTTCACATGTCATAAATCAAATTATGTTATTTACACTATAATCGTTCTTAAAAACTTGAGCAGTGAAAATACTGATATCATATTGTTTACTTAACCCAATACAGAAGGGTAAAATTGTTGAAGAAGCTGGCCAAGAACAGGTGTACTTTTGTGCATGCCATTCCGTACTGGGGTGATTGTCCTGGGGAAGTGAGACCTTATGACATGATGGAATGTCACTTGGCATCTGTGAGTATTCGCCATGACATGATAGCACATCGCAAATTGCCTATGGGTTTAAAGATCATTTTAGCTTTTATGTAACAAAAAGGTCGGGAATTTGAGAGTGAAAGTGTTCAGTGCTTCATATATCATATTAGAAATGGGTGCTGTGGTTCACGTAGAGTTGACTAGAATGTCATCAGCATAATCAAGCCTAGCCCGTGCTGTAATTCTTAGGTGGCATTTTTTTTATCCGATGCATTTCATTGATAGCACTGTCAATTACTTAAATACAGTTAATGTAGTATATTTTTTTACTTGATGTGAATGGCAAGAAATTTCACTGTACTTAGATGCTTCAGGTGTATGGAATTTTTGTTTGAAAGATATATATATATATATAGACAGTTGCAGATTCTCCATATATGATTTATCTAATGCAGCAAGCTAAGCATGAGTATCCTTTGACAAATTGATTTTATTGTGGACATAGCTAAAGTATCTGATGTTCCCTGGAACAGTCTCTACCCTCAGCTTTGTGCATGGAGAAACTGGTCATCTCTTGAAGTGGATTTTCACAGACTTTAATGAATCTTGTGATTTGATTGTTTGCTTTCTCTTGTATCTCTTCCCCCCTCCCCCTCTTTTAATTTGTGAATTTGATATCTTTCCCATCCCTCTTTGATATTAGTGCTTGTATGAAGGTAACGAGCATAATACGTGTTTCGTAAATTTGAGATGACTGTTTACTTCCAGTTTTGAATGTGTCTGAACTTGGGCATTTTCATATCTCAGGAGTTATTGTGAGTGGTATGGTAGGGTTAAAGTGGAACATTTAGGCTATATTAGTCTTTTTTTAACGATTATATAAATATATATATATATACAATTTTTACCAAATGGGAAGGTCTTTTACACTTATTGTCTTCTGTTCTTACAAGTTCAGGAAGTATGACCGTCTTTCATGTTATTGTTTTTTGTTTTTTTGTTTTCAGGAATAAATGATCATTAGCTTAGAAAAAATGGAACTGAGAAATTGTACTCAGTTTATTCACAAAATGACTCTGCTTAATAAGTTTAAATATTCATTTTTTAACAGATAAGACGTGACAAAATATTCAATCTTTGTGTACCATGCAAATATATATCCCCCCTCTTTTTCTTGTATGAAATTGTAATATTATTTATGAAATCATTACAGCTTTCTGGCAGCATATATAGTTTTTCTCTTTCTCTTAGTTATCCATCCTGTTTATACTGTTGGTAGGCTGCCTATCAACATTGCAACTCACCTACTTAATATGCAAAAAGATACAAGGATACTTGGCCAATTTTATCTATTAAGTGATGCCAGATTCTTCCTTATTTCTGATGTGGTAACAAGTCGGTATATTTAGCTCTGCACATTATTGAATGGCTGCTTGTATTACTCATCCATGAGATTTCTTGTTCTGTGATAACATTCTATGGTTGTGGAAAATGGCATGTTATTATGATGCTCTATGACACCTGTCAAGGCTGTGCACAAGTGGTAAGTTGACGGTGTTCTCGTGTTACCACATCAAAAGAGAGGGTTTCTTGCAGTTTGTGATAACTATGCACAAATTATTATGTCCACCATGCTATGAACTCTGGCTGGCCATTATGTAAATACTGAGATCCAATTGATCATTTTAATAAACTTGAAAGTTGTATGAACTTATTATTAACCATGTGTTTTATCAGTGGTTGACAAAAAGTTGGGAAGAATCAATGGGACCTCTGTTGAAGATTTTAAAGCCACTCCCACTTTCACAAGCAAGGTTTTGCTCATGTCCAGTTTCATTCCCAGACATCCACCCCAATCCATTTGCAGTTGATGTCATTGGGGGCTTAGGAGACAAAGGCAGACAGAGTGTTGGGTATTTCCTCTGCCTTGGGTCTCAGCCCTCAAACTAACAAACTCTGCAAGGTCTTGTCTTCTCCTTTCCTTTTCCTTCTCTTCTCCAACTCCACCTACTGTCCACTCCCTAAAGTGTGATATATTGACAGGATTAAAGGCTGGCTTTGTCATGTAGCCTCACTGATTTTAACTCCAGGTTCCCTAACCCTATGTTCTCCTTTGATCATGACTCTAAACACTGCAACTACTATCCCTTCCTCAATGCCAGATCATTACTTAACCTCCAGAAAACATTCCCTTTTCTATCCTAACATCCTCCATTCGATCTCCTCCCCCAGTCTTCTTCTACAACCCCCTCCTCCCATATTACTTCTCTTCATTATTATTGTCCACCTCTCTACAGTACTACCTCACTCAACACCACTCCCTCTTCGTCTCTACTTCTACTATCAGTACTACTCTTTTTACCCCAATTCTACAGCCCCTTACTCTGACAACAATGTCTCTGAAAAGAAGTAGGCATAAATAGGCAAAGTTTCCACAGCCATTCTGGTTGTTCTGGCCCCATCACAATTACTTCCGACTCCCAAGCTCAAGCAACCCTGGTTGGACTTCACAGGCAAACCTATGCATGCCCAGCCTTAATTCTCCCTTAATGATTTTACCAGAACTGCTTCTGTCTCCCTAGCTGATTGCCCTGCCTATGATGAGGATTGATTGGACCGGAAGCAACTTGCTTGCCTGCCCCATTGACTATGATTCAGTATTAATACAATGCTATGGCATAGCTCTACTCTTGCTCCCTATTCCAGTGGTGTCCTTTGCTCCACCCCTCCCTCTTCCTCCCATAATGTTTCTACATCTCCCCCAGTGTCTCATTCTTCTCATTTCGTTCTCACCCCAGCCCTCTCCCAGTCAAATTCTTTTGCCATTCTAATCACAGACACATCAATTTCTACTACTTTCTCAGTACCTACCCTTCCTCCTCACTCTATCCGTCACATTAGACAATCCAAACATTCCAAAACATCTCAGATGTGTGTCTCTTCTTCTCCCCCTCATAAGAAAACTTTCGTTTCTAAGACCATCCAACTTCCTTTGAGGACATTCCAAACTTTCCTGTTATGACCTCCCCCAAAATGTGCCTATCCCTCATTCATCCTTAAATCTCTCTACTCTCACTCCTACACTTAAAGTGACTGTCAATATCCATCCATCCTACTCAAGTTATTCCTGGCTCTTCTACACGGGAATATTCAGTTTCCCTTCTCACAGACCTGATCTTCGTCATATCCTTTCTTCCTACAATCCATCTGTTGTCTGCCTCCAAGAAATTTTCCTTCCACATCCTCTTGTTCCAATGCCCAATTACCATTTTGTCTTCCCCACAATCCCTTTCTGCCTCTTCTATACTTATCCATTAGAAAATACTATATGTTATTCCTCCCCTTCAAACCACTGTCCCTTGCACCATTATTTGCATCTTTGCTGCTAGATCATAGTTATTTCAATCTACTTCTCCCCTTTCCATCCCATTGACTGTGTTGCCTGTGAAAGTAGTTTCTCAACTTCAACCACCTTTCCTCATAGCTGGTAACTTTAATTCTCACTTCCTCCTTTAGGGAGATTCCACCACCACTTCCCTTGGCTTGGAATACTTTCTCTCCATTACTAACCTTGTTCTTCTTGATTCAAATCGCCTCACCCACTTTGACATGCACTCGCAATCTTTTACATGCCTTGAACTTTGTCTTTGCCTCCATGTAGACTCATTCATAAGTTCTGGATCAATTTCCCGAAAGTGGCCTTTTTTTTGTTCTCTTGTTACAAGGAGGGACCCCTAGGTAGCTATTAGCCCTTATCTCATTTAAAAGGGTATCCGCTTGTCTTTACTGGACTATCTGTAACTGCATCAGTCAGCTGGTGAAATTAGGTTTCCGCCATAACATCTAAATCTATTTCTACTGTCTGGCGTCAGATTCATTAATGTCAGGCAACATCCCCCCCCCCCCCATCTTCCCCCTGTCCTCCATATTCGAGATCCTCTCACCTCTGATCCCCTCCAAGATGCTATTGAACATGTAGGGTCTCAGCCTCCACTCTCTTTATATGGTGCTCCATTTCAGTACCATCCCTTTAGCAAGTTCCTTGGTGTTATTTTTAACTCCAGATTGTCCTAGCAAGACCATATATTCTCCATTAAATAAAAAGCTCACCACCAATGTAAGACTCTTGTAGACTCATATCCTGGAGTTCAGACTGCAAAACTTTCTTTCATCTTCACGTGACCCTGATCCTCTCCACTTCTGATTATGGATGCCATCACTATTCTACTGCCTCTGCCTCCCTTCTTGCTCGCTTAGATACAATTCACCACTGTGGACTTTGCTTGCCCCTGGATGCATTCCGCCCTCTCCAGTTGAGAGCCTGTACGCTGAGTTAGGCCTGTCATTTCTCTCAACGCTATGCCCTTCTCTCACTGGTGTCATGCTCATTTCCACCAATTTCCCTACAATCCCCCCTTCCCACCTTTCCTTACCTACTCATTTCTCTATTTGTATGTATGCTCTCCTTTCCCATTCTTTTCGTCTTCACCGACCTTTTCCTTTTCCTCTTTATTCATTTTCTCCTGTTTTTCCTGATCCACCTAAACCAGACATCCCCCTTCTGTCTTTCTCACTCATATTCTTGATTATATTTCCACCCACTGCTCCAGTATTTCATGATTTTGCTGTAGTCTTCCCTTCCCATACATTCAACTTTCCCCTCCCTCTTGAGCCCAGTGGTCTTATGACAGAGCTGTACATGCTCTTTTTCGCCTTGAAACGCATGTCCTCCCTTCCTTCCTCCTCATTCACTATTTTTATGGAATCTCGTCATTCACCATCTTTCATACAGTCTATGCACTTGGCCAACCCCTTAGGCTGTAAGATTCAAGACTGGTTGTTCTACTTGTCTACATAACACAAGTCTGTCAGGTTTTGCTGGGTGCCTGGTCATGCCAAGACCCCCGGCAATGATAAGGCAGATGCTCTAGCCCACTCTACCAGGTTGTCCACTCCACACCAACCTGTATTCCACTTATTGATCATTAACCCCAATTTAAGACTTTCTTCTTTGCCTGCTGGCAGGCTTTCAGGTCAAGTCTTACATACTGTACAACTTTCCATTTCCTCTTTGTCAGTTCCATTCCATCAGAATAGTCTCTGGGAGATGGCTCTTACCCGTTTGCCATACCCGCCTCACGCACTCATCTCTCATGTCATTTTCAGATCTACCCCAATGCTCCCCTTGTTATATTCTTTCAGTCCCACACATGTTTTTCTTCCCCGCTTTACTGTATCTCGTACCTCTGATATTCCTCACTTCTTCCTTCCCCGATCAGCTAACCTGTTCGACAATATGGAATCTCAATCTTTTTCCTCTGACAACTTGTTTTCTTCCTCAGACGCCCCAAAACCCTCCCCCTTAATTTCTTTTTGCTAATCTCTGTCTTACCCTTTTTATTCACTCCTCTTTATCAGTACCATGATATCAGAAAGTGCTATACGACTTTTGACATGTAGTACATTTAATCATTAACTCACCCAATCCACTCTTTACCCTTTTCGCTACTATACCTTCTAATAGAGTATAGTGCTACATGTGACCGAAGTTTAGCACATATATTTAGCTTTTTAAACAATTACAATTCCCAGACTTCCAATCCTATGTAACCAATTGGAATAAAGAGTTGCTTAGGATGTCAAAATGCTTAAAATAACAGTTTATTATTAAGTATACTAAATACCAACGATTAACAATCAGAATACTTGTTTTGCAGTGGGATTGGTCAACCTTACCTTGGGACAAATTATACCAGATTTAGAAAAGTTCAGAATCTTAAATTAGTATAACGAAATTTGCAATTCTGGAAATAAAGCACACTAAGGAAAACACTAACCCCTCGATATTCTCATCAAAGTAAAAGAAACAATGAAGTAAATCTAAGCCAGGGCATATAACAGGCAGAGCACCTAGGAAAGAACATGATTAAATCACCTGAGGAGGGTCAAAAACAAGCAAGCCTGGGAAAAACATTACCAGTACTTTGAATGAGATAAGGTCATCCTTATCCACTTTGGATTCCACATTTGTTTCGTGCACACCCGCGGGAATCACAATTGTTGGCGTCCTGAAAGGGCGCTAAACATTCTACATTATCAGGGGGAAAATGAGACAAGATAAAAGACAATCAACAATAGTTTCAAATAGAAAAACGAAAATCTACAGTAAATCTCTATTTATGCAAAATACATCCATATAATGTCATGATAACACCGCATTTGCATATTTCAATCTCAATGATCGTTAACTGTGAAAATCTTAAATAGTACAATTTACTATGTTGAAAACATGAATAACTGCGTAACAAAAGGCCACTTGAATCCAATGAAGATGTAAAAATGAGTTAATAAAAATAACCATAAGAAACAAGAAGGATACAAAACAGACGGGAGTACCTATCTCTTGTTCATTAAAAAAAAAAAAAAAAAAAAAAAAACGAAAGAAAGAAAAATTGATGATCTAATAATATCGCAATGCAATAACTAGCTCTTGCACAGTGGGCATTTCTTTCTGATGGCAATATTTTCCAAAGAACTTGCCACATTATTTCATTGTTATATATTAGACTCCTATGGCTGCCGTTGACAGTACTTATTCGATGCCTTTAAAAATGCATTTTTTTCTTTAAGGAATCCCAAATCATCAAGGTGTATTACGTATACGTATTAGTATTTAACATCTTATAGAGATACTGATTTCATGTAC